AATTTTTTTCAGTTTGTAAGTCATATGAATTGCAGATTGAGTGGCAGTAGACTTGTGGTATATGGACTAACCCAAAATATAGAAACAAAAGAATATATGATGGTACTTCAATATGCCAATAAAGGAAACCTTCATAAATTTCTAACGTTAAATTTTAATGAACTCTTTTGGGAAGAAAAATTATCTCTATTAATTGATATATTAAAGGATTTAATTAAAATTCACAAAGCTGGATATATTCATTGTGATCTTCACTGTGGTAACGTTCTACATCATAAAGAAGAATCATGGCTTGGTTCATTAAAATCTTACATTGCGGATTTAGGGTTGTCTCGAAAGAATGAGGAATTGTTTTCAAAAAATGGAATATATGGAGTTATGCCTTATATTGCCCCTGAAGTTTTATTAGGTCAACAATATACACAATTAACTGATATTTATAGTTTTGGTATTATTATGGCAGAGATAACTACTGGAATACCGCCTTTTTATGGTCAATCATTTGATATTGATCTTGCGTTAAAAATCTGTAATGGATTAAGACCTAGCTTCGCTTCAAAAACTCCTAACTGCTATATTGAATTAGCAAAATTATGCATGCATTCAGACCCACAAAAGCGGCCCACTGCTAAAACTATTTTCAACGAACTTTCTGAATGGCACAGTTTTATATATCAACCGGATGAACCTGGTGAATTTGATGAATCCGATAATTGTGAAAGTTTTGATGAAAAATTGAAAATAACCGAAGAATTTGACGTTGCTGATAATATAATTTCTGAATTATCAATAACTTTACGAGAACATTTACGTGTAGATATCATATACACAAGTAAATTTATTAATACATACGATATTTTACAACGTTTTAATGCGAAAAGTGCTCTATGTGACACTGCAGGTAATTACACTATTTATAATTTAAAGTATTATTTAACATAGTTTATTATTAACCTTTATCCGTGCAGATTCTACTTTTGGTGATCTCAAAGTTCCTGATTCTAATGAACCCAAATCATTATAAAAAATAATATATATTTATAAGAGGAATTTTATTAGAGGATTTCATCATTTATAGTTGGCATTTACGTATAACGAACCGATGTTCTGGGTTTAAATTTCATTATATAATTACTATGTTTTCTTAAAAGCCACTTTTTCCATACAAGCTAAAATTTAAATGCTTGTAACATTAATTTATTAGATGAGGTAAAGTTTTAGGGTTGGATCACAGAAATTTTGAGGCATGTCCTTTGTATACATTGTGTATAAATTATGTCATATGACGAAATATTTTTCGTTGTCAATATTATTACAACTAGCTGAAGGTATTATTTTAGACTTTATGAGGTGCCGTTATCATTATACGGAAACTACCGATATTACTTATTTTTCTTACTTGTGCTGTTTAATATTCATGATGTAAAATTGTGATATAACTTATTATTAATTGAATTAGATTAAAATGAAAGTAGTCCTATTTTGATTTGGCAGTTTTTGTTAGAATTTAGGGCTAGGAATGTTAGTTAACAGGAGAGTATATGTGTTTTAGAGGTCACGCCCTGACGTAGTACGATGCCCTATTTTTATTATCATTTTTTGTTTAGCCTTTTTATAGTACAAACATGTATAATTTTAATTCCATTCATTCCGTAAATTAATAAAACAATGGCATTTTATATGCTGAAACTTTGAAGCCTAAACAAAGTTTTGATATCTGTTTTTTTTTTTTTGTTTAAATATATGAATAGTAGAATATGTATATATCATTTTAAGCTGCATATTTTTATGACTTCATGTTAATATGCATGTATAAAATACTTATTCGAACAAAAAGGTTGTAATGAATATTTTTATTTTGATTTCTCTTAATTATTTAACGTTAAACTTTCTTTAAGTGTTATTGAAGCTAATTTTTTTCATCTAGCAAGAAATTCTTTGATTTTCGCATTTAAGAGGAATAAACTTTTTTAATTTATTCATGTATTATAATCCCAATTATATAAAAGACTTTTATAACTTATTAATATGAGTTACAGTATGAACTGACATTCATCTATATCATAATTCGTATTCTCAACACAAGCTTTATTTAACCTATAACTTTATATTTAAATATAGAATACACGTAGTGTTGGACGAATATATTTATTGCTAGAAATTGTTGTTCCAGTGGAAATTAAATAAAATAACGAGCCCAAAATTTTAAGCAAAATAGATAGTGTTTTAAACTTTTGTCAAACTATAATACAAATATAATAATTGTTAAAATAGTTTAAAAGGTAATTTATTGTAAAAATCATTATATAAATAATAGTTGACTAAAAATGAAATTAGATTTTTTGAAATTAGATACTTAAATTACTGCGCTTTTCAAATTACTGTGATCAGTGATTTTCATACATCACACCAAGAAATCAGAAATCTAGAAAAAATGCTAATCTGTGATTGGCTAGAAATAATTTTTAGCCAATCACAGATTTGCATTTTTTCAGTGTATGAAAATCACTGATCACTGTAATTTGAAAAGCGCAGTAATTTGAAATTCCCAATGTAATGAACTAGCTTTTGCGTTACAATTAAAAAAATTTCCTATGAAATATTAATATAAACAATTCCAAATCCTGATCCAAATATTCATTAGGGACTGGTACGAATGATTTATTTACAAATGTTTTCAAAAAGGTGTGAAAACGAATTTCATATACCTTTATGTGAATTCCATATACCTTTGTGTGAAATCGAAGAATTTGAAAATTCTGATTAGGAAAAATTCAAGATCCAAATCAAAATATTCTTTAACATTTATTTCAATCATCTCTTATTTTAAATAGGCAACTCAAAATCATAAAAAGTAGTATCTACATATAAAAAGGTTAAAAAATTTACGCTTAACCTAACATCAAATAGTATGAAAAATACCTGCTATATTAAGTAAGCCACTCTCTGAACTAACTCGTTGTGAAATTTCTCTCGTATTAATAAATTTACTTGTGTATATGATATCATCATATTCATGCAGGGCTATTGATAATTCAGGAATTATTAATTTGCAGATTTTAAATGATATAGATATTTGATTCTATATGAAGGATAATGGTAGGTTGCAAGTGTCTGTGTTGAGTTGTATTTCTGTTTTGCTAGTGCCTTGTTTTGCAAGCAGGTCAGCAATATTGTGAAAAGAGTTGTTAGAATAAGATTTGTTTTATGAGTAGTGAATTTGATATTTTTTTTTTGAATTAGATAGTTGAGAATATAAACGATATCCTAGTTATTTGTTTTGGTTTGAGTTGGATATTTATAAGGTAGGTTGTTTTTAAATGTTTGGATTGTAGCTAGGTTGTCAAGGTGTATATGTATGCTATAATTTGAGGGTAAGATTAGAAATAGGTAGATAAGTGTTGTGAGTTCAGCTCTTGTAGAATTTGGTGCATTTGGTATAGATATATTAAATTTTATTCAAGTATTATTTTGGAGAATCTAGGTAATACCTGTTTTGATGTTTGGTGTTTGAGGGTTTTTGATTGAAGTATCTGTATAGAAGTAGAGATCTGCAGAATTGAGAGAAAGTATTTGATAGTGTAAGTTTGTTAGTTGGGTTTGATATAAATAGTTTTTGATAGAGTTTTTGAATGAGAATAATATTAGATGAGGGGATTATAATATTTAGTAATATGAGTATTGTAGGTTTGGTTAGAGAATAGTAAATATTTTGTAGTGCTTGTAATTCTTGTTAGCTAATACTAAGTTTGAATTAATTGTTTTCTTTTTGTGTTTTGCATTTTATATTGATTGCTCAGTTATAGTCTGTTTGTATTTTAGTAGATATTGGAGAGATAAGAGTTGTATTATTATTTGTTAAAGTAATTTAGTAATTTTAAAATATTATTTGAGTTTGTGAGAAGTTAGTTATTTTTCTGAGTTAGAAGTTTAGAAGTAATATATGAAGAGTTCAGAAGTTTTTATTTGGATTTTGTAATATAATAAGATTAAGTGTGTTTAGAAAAGGATTTGTTAGTTCTAGATTTAAATTAGACCAAATCTCAAGTATTAGTAGTGACATTGTTAGATTTGCTATATGTTTATACTATTTAGATATTGGATCTCAAGGAGATTTGTGAGTTTAGAAGTAGATGTTTTTTCAAAGAAGGAAATATTAATTGTCTACTATAAGTAACTGTTCAAAGAAAAGGATTTAGTTGTTTTTGAGACTAAGAGTTATTGTAGTATTGGAATTTGGAAGGAAGTTATAAATAGAATTTAATTTTTCAGTTTGATTATAGTGTTGTTGATTTTTGAGAAAGGAGCTGTTTAGTAAAATATTGTTTTTGTATATAGAGATTAGTTGATTAATAATTGTAAAGTTTTGAGTTTTCCTTTAGTTGAAGAAAAAAATCTTTTTGTTAATATTAGTTGCTATATTTTGGTTAACTATTCTTTAATATAAGCTTGAATGATTTGAGTAAGGAGTGTATTTGAGTTTAAATATCTGTTTATATTGCTACTATTTGTTAAAAGTAGAAGTATGTTTAAAGTTGGTATATTAGTAAATGAGGGTTTGTAGGATATCATTGTTTGTGTTAGTTAGTAGGTATAGCATATGTTTGATATTTTTAGTTAAAGTATTTGATAGTTGGTTAATTTTTTTCTAAGGCCATGCAAAGTCGATTTTTTGTTTCACATTACCTGCTGCCCAAATTTTACAGAAACTTAACTTTTTTTTTTATTTCTTTAAAATTTGGTTTAAATATGAAAAATAATATTTATTGTAATAATCTTAATGAATATAGTTCAAAAAAATTGATATTTAAGTTGTGATAATTTATTAAAGCTAGTATGATAATATAATTCTATTAGTAACTATTTATTATTATTATTATATGAACCAATATTGAGTATGTTTTATTATTAAATGTAAGTTAATTATCAACTTGTCTTTAAAAAATAATTAATATTAATACAGATATATATAAAGCATGATTTAAACACTTGATCTATACTTACTTTTTTTTGTTTTTGTAAATACATATAGTAAATTTCAAAGATTTTCCACAAGTTAGTATTTTAACACCTTTTTGTGTATATTCAGTATATAATGGATATTGAGTAGCTAGGATTAGAATATTAATATTACTATCTCCACATTCAAAACATAATAATGAAAATATTTGCACTGAATAATAAGACCTTTTCATTTAAGAATTACAAGTTAGACCTTTATTTATAAACACCTTTTCAAATAGCTGTTTAATTGTTGTTTTATTAGCATCTAATAATTCAAGATTTAACAGACTTTTAGTTTCTAAATAATTATCATTTTCTTTATCATCTGAAAATTCTACTAGTTTATTGCTTTCTTTATCATCTGATAATTTAATAAGTTCATTACTCTCTTTATTATCTGATAATTCTACTAATTCATCGCTTCCTTTATTATCTAATAGTTCTACTAGTTTATCACTTTTTTTATCATTTGCTAGTTTATCTACTAATTCATTACTTTTATTAGAATAATTATCACTATTTTTATAATTATCATCACTTTCATTACTATCTACTAATTCATTATCATTATTATTCTTATAGAACATATCTTCCCAAGTTTTTGAATTCGAATATTGTAAATTATTTGATTCATTATTATTTAATAATAAATTTTTGAAATTTTTCTCTCTATGTTCACTATTACTTGATTCAATTTTATCACTAACTCATTTTTTGCTCTTCAATTTTGATCTAGTAACTACTAATTCTGATTCAGATTCTAAAGCTGAATTACTTCTTGAAATTGTTCTATTACTATATGAATATGAAAAACTTTGAGCTATGCCAAATAAGTTTTCTGCATTGTTAAATAGTGAACTACAAGAATAATCAACTGTATCTAAATATATGATTAATAATTTTTTTTTTGTTCATTTAGTTTTTGCTTAGAATAAAATAATCACTAACGCTTACATCCTGAACACATAATAGTAACACCAACATTTTTAGCTCTTTGTGCTGTACAATTAAATGGTATATTGTTTTTTTTAGTTAATTTTAATGGTGATTTTTTTTTATTTTTATTGTTAACAAGTGAAAAGTGATAAATTTCAGTTATTATTTTACTATATACTTCATTTAATGAAGTATAATGATTATTTTTTCCAGAAATTGAATCAGAAAAATGATAAATCTGACTAAAAATTTCTTGTGAAAGCCATATAGATTTGCAAATAGTACATTCTTCTTTTTCACATTTTTTAATTGAAAAAGAATAATATCTTGATTGATAACAATATTTAAAAAATTCTTTAAATATAGTCTTTAAAATAAAATATATATTAAATAGTATTAGATATAATAAAAGAGAGTTTTACTACAATATTTCAAATTAGATTTCTAAATATTAAATATAACTCTACGTAATACAATATTAATAATTAGTAATTATAGTAATTACTAGTATTAACAGACTTTGAATATTGTATCTTATAGGTAATAATTTTTAAAAATCTAATTTAGAATAAAGCTATAAATATTATCTAAAATTAATAAATTTATTACCTTATTTTTAACAATTTTCCAAGCTTTATCAGTTTTTAGTATTATTTGGTCTAATTTTATAATAGCATCAAATAGTTGATCAATATCTTCAATTGTTGCAGCATTTATTATTGTAAATGTTTCATTTTTTAAATTTTGTAGTGAAAAAACACTATTTAAAAGCTCTTTTACTGGTTGCAAACTATTATTTAATTCTTGTTGAAGTTTTGAATATTTTTTAGCTACTTCTCTAATATCTTTCATCGAATTATAGCTATCTAATATTTTTTAAAATTTATTTGACATTCTTTTGCACATTAATCCAACACACTGAAGTAAAAATTTAATATTGACATAATTCTTTTACTGGATTTTTCTATGAATGCCCCAGTAGTATTCTTATAGCAACTAAATAATTTAAATTAAGTGATAAATAAAATAAATAAGCGAAATTTGAACTGATAAATAGTTAACTCGATAGTCAGAACCTCCATCAGTATATAAAAATAGAATTAGTAAATTTGTATCATAACTTTTAATAATATATAAAAGTTCTGTTGAATGATATAAAGGAGTTGATACTTCAAATATAGGATCTTTTAAAGCTATAAATACATGCTCTTTATAAAATGAATTATCAATATTTTCAGAAATATTGCATTGCATAACAACACTAGGAATAATTCCAACTTTAGTAAAGTCATAATCACTAACTAAAAAAGTTTTATTTAAACTAACTAAAACTTGTTTTCCATATTCAACTGCTGCTACTGGATATCCTAGTTCACCTACTTTGCAATGATGTTTATTATCAAGAAAATAAAATAAACAATAGTTATGAAATTTTACTGCTAACTCTTTTTGATAACGAAAAAGTACTGAAGTATAATGTATATCAGGATAATCAATATGAAATTGTCGAATTTGAATCATAAATTTGAAATTTAATTGGCCAGTATACTGTAATGCTTTTAAATTATATTGAGATTTTGGCCAACATTGCAATCAAACCTATTGACTATATGAAATTAAAGCTTCAGAAGGACATTATGTAGCAACTTGTTATACAAAATTATTAACAGAAATTGCTCTAGCTAAATGAACTATTGAACTATGTCTATGATCATCAACAGCAAGTAATGAATCTTCAGTACTAGCAAGAAAATGTTGTGCTACTTTTCAAAATGTTTCATAATATGTAGTACCAAAATTATGTTCTCGCAAATTAGTAATAATTTTTGGATTACTGATTTGTAATACTAATTTAATTCTATTATCCACTTCTTTTTCATTCTGATTTTCAGCAATAGCAAAATCATTAGTTAAGTTACAATATAATAAATATAATATTATTAGCTTAACTGAACCTAATAAAGTTTTATATTTAGATCGCCAAAGTTTGCACATTGCTCATATATGATAAATTTGTATATCTTTTTCTAATATTTTTGCTATTTTATAATTATATGATATTATTTCTGAATCAGATGCAGTTAAAAGTATATGCTATAAATATATTACAGAAGAACCATGATTACTATCATGTATAAATTATGCTACTTTAAAGGGTAATCCTTTATTTAAATCTTTAATATAGTGATACTTCGGTCTATTAATAAAAGTAGTTAAAAATAACTAATAAAAAATATTATATTATTAAAATTTATTATTAATTTACTTACACAGATTCATTTAGAAGAAATGATTCAATATTTATTGATTTCCAAAAGTTATTTTGTTCAAGTAAATTAATTAATATTTGATAATGATCAATAATATGAGTTTTTCTAACCAAATTAAATTGTAAAATTGTAAGAAAACTGTTATTTTCTTTGACTAGTTTAAATAAAAGATGATTTTGTATTATAACTATTGATTGTTTTTGTAAAATTTCTTGATATCATGATAAATTTGTAGCTAAAATTTCTAATAGATTAATAAGCCAATGAAATACAGGTCTTTTAATCTATGCAGACCTTGTATACTTAAATAAAATATTTGAATGATATACAAGTGTAATTGCATTAAATTACTCTTTCTTTTTTTTTAAACAAATTATATTAAAATATCTAATAAACTATTCCATTTCAATAGAAATATTACGGCTTCAGCTTTTTAACTTTTCTGGATCAAATTTATCAACATACCATAATGCAGCAGCTAAGTCTTTAACAAATTCTTTTCTAGTTGTTATTGCAATATCTTTGCTCCATCCACTATTATTTTTATCAATCTATTCAACAATATTATATTATAATTTCTCTAGTATACTTGAGTGTTTAGAAATAGTAAAAGTTAGTAAATGCTTTACATTAGTAGTATCTTCTATCATTCATGAAAAAATGTTAATTAACATTTCAGAAGATAGCAATATTGAAATATGTATTTGATAATATTACACTTTATTTTTCCAGGCTTCAATTGCCTCAATCATATTATATTCCATACTAACTACAATAAAGGGCCTATATGAATTAAATAAAAACTCTGCTTTAACTGGTTGTAAACAGTTCTCATTATTTAACTTCACTTTAGAAACAATTTTGCCTAAAATAAGATCTGCATAAAACTGTCTTACTGTAATAATATTTTTAGATACAGGAACACCTATTCAGTTTACTTTAACACTTTCAGCTTTAATACACACAGATACAATAGGTATTTAGATTTTTTTTTACTTGAAATAAGTATATTCAAATACATTTCACACAACAAATATAATTACATTTCTTTAATAGAATAATTAGCATAAACCTGTTTGCATAATGAAATAAGGATAGATTTGTTATTATTATACAAGTGCTATTTAAAAGTATTACAAAAATAATTAGAGATAACAAAAGATAGCTAAACAGGAATAAAACTGCTTACTCATGTAAACTTGTATAATAGTTATAAATAACTAGTTTTAGGATTGAATTTCTGTAGAAAGACTTGGTTAACTTAACTGAATTAGATAAGTATGAATTAAATTAAATGCTATTTTGGAATGAGTAATTATCTGATTATAAGCAAGTAACTCTATAAATAAATATATATATAGTTTTATAAATCTTATTCAAGTTATTAACTAGCTCGAGTTTTAATATATCTAATATCAATATTATTGTACTTATTTTAGCAAGTTCAACTTTAGCATTATTTAAGCTAAAATAGTTATATTACATACGTGCAATACTTTTTGTAATAGTATATTTATAGCCACTGATATAATTTTATAATGCCTGCGATTAAACTTATTCAAAAGTTAGATTAGAAACCTGCAATAAGTCATAGTGAAATAAGGTTAACAAATATCATTTTATGCAGAACTGTTCAGAGATTTATACATGCATTCATTACCTTTCTCAAACATATACTAGACTATACCTTTATATCAACTTTGCTATTTCTACACACACTTGTGAGATATCACTATGATACTAATTAGGAGCTGATTTTTGTTCTAGTAAGTAATAAATTAGAGGTTCGATCGAACCTCATTTATTCTTTCAATACACAATTATATCACTAAATTACTTGTACTATGAAATAATAACTAATTTTAACCTATCTCTGTATAATCTAATCTAGCACAAGATATCTATTTGCAACTAATCATACTACAACACATAACTACAATATTAAACTAAAAAAATACCTTTTTCAGAAAAATAAAAGCATTAAAAAGACTTAGCTATACTAAAATTTATTAATTAAACTTAAATTAAAAAAAAAAAAAAAAAAGCTGCCTGCTGCCCAAGTTTTAGGATTTCATAAAATATGAAATGAAAAATCAACTTTGCATAGACTAAGAAAAAACAAATTTAAAGGAGATATTCTACAGATAGTAATAAGATTGAATTAAATAGTTTTAATATATAGATTAGAAGAAGTTTTTTGAATTGAACTAGATATGTAAATTAGTTTATTTTGTTGATAATTATATTTATTG